CTAACATTATGGCCCCCATGTTCCAGTCGATCAGTGGGTTGTGCCTTTGTAACCAATCATGTCCTAGGAACAGGGGTGTGGTGCCAAAATCCACCACAGCCAGATCAATTCTTTCCATGTGATCTCCAATCCATAGCCGTACTTTGGCGTACTCGGTTATGTCACCTCCCTTGTTCCTCGTTCCATCAGCATTATAGACAGGGGTAGGACGGGTGGCCTTTTTAAGGTTAATCCCATGCTCTTGGACCCATTTGCGGTCAATGGAACTCCCAGTGGCTCTGCTGTCTACTAAAGCTTTGAGGGCGAGAATGTCCCGAGTGTCCAAGGTTTCCAGCTGGACATTAATAGATACATTATGCCCCTTTCTTCCTTGTATGTACATGGGGGGCTTCTTCAAATCCTCCATCCATTCCCACTTATTCCTTGACTCCGTCACTGTCTCTGGCTGCTCCTGAAGGGAATCGCATAGTTCGATCGTGATTTCGCCTGCCCTACGAGGGTGCATCCAGTTCTTTAGGATGGCAAATGCTGCCGACTCGTTGGTAGTGAGGCATAAGGCTCGTCGAGTCCAATGTATTCTGAATGGTTCGCAGTACATGTCGATTATGGCTCATTTGGCTTCAGGCACCAATTCAGGTTCAGGGGTCATGGAAGACTTCCCTTTATGAGGTGTGACCGGGATGTCAGATCGTAAATGCACTTCCTCATCTTCGACTTCTTCCACCGACACCGGGGAAGATTTCTTCACTTGAGGTGGCAATTGGTCACCAGGCCGAGAAGGGCCCCTTGGTGGCACTTAGTCACCTTCCATCAAGTTGGAGGAGGAGGACTCTCTGTCCCATCTTCAGCCCTGGCTGGGGGTGCTTGTGCACGGTGTTGTAACCTCCTCGATATCCATTTTCTTACCCTCATACCTGGTGGTACTTCCGATCACCCTTCATGGATGCACACATATTGACTTCCCCAAAGGGTCCCCACCTTTTGCTGCCGCATCCTGTGTTCATGTGGCTACTGAGTGGGGGTGGTCCTGTGGGTTCACGGTCTCAGCTGCTTTTCCATCACTGACCACTGCTACAATTGGGGTAGGAACAGCAGACAGGGTTAGTGACCGTCCTTCCCTGCCGGGGTGACTGGGCCCAGTCTGACTCTGGCATGGGGGCCTCTCCGTTGCATCCAGAACTTTCTCCTTGCTGCCAAGCGGGGGTTCCTGAGGTAGGACAGCCCCTCGGGGTTCATTGCCAGGTGTGGGAAGCACCTGATGGCGGTAATCCCCTCCTACGCCAAGGGCATTTTGCGATTCTTCTTCCTTAGTCTCTTCGATGGTTAACACGGCGTAAAAATTCGTGTATTGTTTGTATGGAGTACCTACATACGTATGATAAGTCTGACCAGCAGGAGAGCATGTACCCACTAGAAACTAAGTCCTTTGCCGATGCCGTCGAATTGCTTATTTTGACGCTGGCTTGTCTTTTGACAACTTTTCTTCTTTGACCTCCTCAACCTTCGTGTCTCTGCCTAACTCCTCTTTCTCAGCCTCCATGAGTAACTGTTGAAGTCGCTGAGCGGGGATCTTCTTGCGTGGGGGGAGTTTGACAGGAATCCATTTCTTTTTGTCTTCTGGACATTTATGGTCCTGGCTCCATCTGGTATTTCCACACTTGAAGCATCACTTCTCACTCTGCAACTTGTCGATCTCCATCGGCTGCCCCTGGCCACCATAGGTCATTCCTGTGGCATCCTTCTTATCACCAGAACCTCCTGCCTTCCCTGATGGCTGATTTTGGTTACCTCGACCCGAACCCAATTGGCTCTGGGAGGACTTATTGCCTTGCTGTTGGGCCAGGCCATATTGATAGTTGGCGTCGATCCTTTCGATACGCCATTTCCACTCCACATATGTGGTGGGACGAGCATTGTCCCCATGCATGATGGTGGTTCGAACTGTGGGTCGCACTATGGCTTCCATGGCTTCGAACATCTGCTTCTCATCTCCGAACTCCTCGCACTTGTGGGCCAGTTCTTCGAACTTCGCGAAGAACTCTACTGCTGATTTGAAGTCTGCTTGGTGGAGCTTCTTCCACTGTTGCTTCCAAATTGCCAGCTCCGCTACTTCTCGGAAGCAGATCATGAGATCATTGGTGAATTCGAACCATGAGGGCAGTCTCCAGTGCCCGTTCCCATCTCGGTATCAGTAGTATTGGTCATTCCACCATTTTTATGCATCCCCATGCAAATAGGACTGGGCGAACATGATACGATATGGGTTCTGCCCAGCTGTATTGAGCATGTAGTACATGGGAAAGACTTGAAAATAAAGTTCGCAGTGGTGAAGGTACCGGGTGATATCTGAGGATACTCCAGTAAAATATTCTGGCTGCATGATTAACTTCGGTTTCATGTCATTCCAGGGGTTATGGACTGTGCCTGGGGCCAACTGCCATGGAGGCAGGGAGCCCTCTGGAGGCGTTGGTGGTATGGGCGGGTTCAGCGGCCGCGATAGTGATCTTAGTCTTGGGTTATGACCCGGCGATGGATACCCTCCCAGTCTAGACAGTATTGGGGGCAGCGGCCCCGCAGGTGGCCTCTGAGGTATAGGTGGGACTGTTGACCCTTTTTCTTTGTCGATGTTGGAGGGCCCTGCCTCTCCTTCGCCTTGGTCTCCTCCACCCCCACCAGCCTGGAACCTTATGGTGTCCAATGGGTTGGGCATTGGTGCCAGTCGTCGATATGCAGCACACCTGGGCTTCAGGTTTTCGGGGTTGCACAGGTTCCACACTCTTGCAGCCCAGTGCCATGCATCGACTTCCAGTATATTCCTCATCAAGTAGAGGTCTCCAGCATGCCTCGTGTCGATGTAATCTTCTCCTGCTTCCGTGATAAGCCAGTGGGGATCCTGCACCATATCTTCTGCCATTATTTGGTATAGGGACTCCCATTCCAAGAACACCAGTATGGCCGGTACCTGCTGTACCGACCTAGTGAGAACTGCTCTCACCTGCCTCATCACTTCTCCTGCAAATGAGGCCAGGGGCGGTTTCTTCAGCATGGAGATGGTGGCTTCTTCATAAATCCCACTGGTCTTCTCCAGCTTCTCGATGCTCTTGGCATTGTCTTTCTCTGAGGTTGTACCCCCTTCTCCACTCTGCCAGGTCGGAGCAATCTTCATCGAAGACCTCCATTTTGAAACAGTGTCAGAGGTCGGTACGGATGCCTTTGTCATTGGTTCATTGGAGAGCCTGGTGGAATCGAAGCTCAGCAGTTCCGATTCTTTGCCTTGCCTCATCATCTGTGGTGTCTGGCTCGAGGGGAAGGTACTCGAGGCTGTCTCATAGGGCTCTGCACTCCGCATTTCGGGAGCATGCGCTGTTCACTCTTGCTTGGTCCATTCAGGCTGCTCCTTCTGGGGTGAGCCGGGCAGCTCGAAGGTCGAAGTTGGACTCGACGAGTGCATGGTACTCATCAGTCCATGGTCACTGATTGAAGGGGACAGGGGCTGTGAATGCTCTTGGCATGACCGATGGGGTGAAAGCAGGGACTCTGGTGAGTTCGTTGGTGGGGGTACTTCCTCCAGTGGGATCAGGGTATAGATCAGGGTTAGTGTCCGGGTTGTATGCCTCAATGGTGTCCCAGATACGCTCTTCTGTTTCAGCGGGGAGGGCAACAGTCCTCATGATGGGGGTGTCCTCGGGCCCTGCAGTTTGGGCTGATACTCCAGCCACAGGAGTTTCTTCCTGGGCAAAGACCCAACTTGTGTGGGGGTACCACGCCACAGGGATCCCCTGCCACTCTCTGCTGCCGCCTGGCGCAATTCTTCCATCATAAGGGATTGCAGCAGCTGGACCGGTGGTAGTTGCGGTGGAGGCCCCAAGGCCAAGTTCTCCACTGTCCTCTGCAAGGTCATCTCCGTGGAAGTACTCTCTTGTGTCTGCTGCTGCATCGAGGTACTCACTTCAGGAATAGGGGTCATCCCCTTCTTCCATCGTGACACCATCAAGGAGGTCTTGGATCCTGATCCTTTCGAACTCTGTGAGGTCATCATTGCTTTCTTCACCCTTGACCATATTCCTTCCTTCCTCTCCTCCATCAGGAGGGAGGTCAATGATCCCTGGTACGGGAGGGTCGCTGTCTCTGAGATGGATTCCTCATATGTCTGTGATGTCGATGGAGGATGCCCTTGGGGTTGGGGAAGACTCCCTGGAATCTGAGGCTGTTCCTTGGAGTGTGATGGGTCATCCATCATGAAGGGTTGGTTGCACAGGAATGTGCGGGTATGGAACGGTTGGGTATGGGATCGGGAGATGTGGGATATAATGAAATGGGAGTCGTGCCCTATGAGCACGGGTGCAGCACCTGTATAGTTGCCTGAGGGCAATTGCTAGGAGTGCCCCGGCCAGTAATCCGAATGCTACTGCGACCGTAGGAAGCAATTCAGCAAGCGGCATAGGCACTTGTGGTCGGGATTTAGAAGTCAAAGAGCCCAACAGTTACAATTAACCATGAGACTGCTAAGACGGGATAGAGTTCACTGGTTGCCAGCAGTACTATGACTGCAGAGACCACAAACAATTGGATGATGAATACGTAGAGTAGCAGCGTGATGGTTGGTCCACCCGTGATGTGCTGACAGTCACACACTGTCCTTACAAACACACAGCAGTGACCTCTCTGGTCAAGCATTTCAGTGTCTGGGTAAACCCGAGGCACCGAAGTTTTAAGATTTCTGAATGTTGTTGGGCAGCGTTTGTTCTCTGACATGGCGCTGGGCAACGTATGTCGAGCTTCGGCTAAATGTTAGCCACCAACTCTACAAACAAGATCAAATGAGGATCGCCACTCGCACTTCAGTGGATCAATACACTCACAGGTCCTGGTTTGTGTGGAATGAGCGGGGGCGAACTTAGATAGTCGTGAAACACGGAGTTCGAGTTGGGTAGATTAAACCTTAGCCGAAGCTGGGGTTTAATCCAGCTGAGGCTACTACTTAAATACAGACTTGAAGACTATAAATAGTACTGTGAGAAGTTGGATACACTGTGATTGCATGATAGTAAGCAGGAATACATAAAAAAGATAAAGGAAAAGAAAAGAAAAAGAATAAACCGTAACACTAATGCCTCAGCATCAGCCACTGAAATGGCCATGGTGTACTCCTCAAGGAATTCTGCATCCTCAAGTAACATCAACCAATCTGCCTCTCCTTCCCCCTCAAACTCAAGAGGTACGTCGTTTTTGTTGATGGCTGGTAACTGAACACCAATGGGTACTACAGGGTCACTCTGGCATGCTGACACACTACCTTTGCCAGAGATGAGGTCCAACACCCACTGGCTAGGCTTTCGAGTGCATTGGGAACAGGTTTCTTCAACTACGGGTTGAACAGTAGGCTGGGCTTCAGGGTTAGGCATCGTCTGTGGTGGTTTCACAGTAGGCAGGTTGGGCTGAGCTTTTGGTGTTGACAGGATCTCGCGTAACTCAATATCTTCCTCCCCCTCGAGATCATCAGCAGGGGCATGAGATTTGTCAAAATAGATGTTTTGCTCAATGGACACCATTTTGCTCTCTGGCCAGTAGATGCAGGATCCATTGCTTGTTTCATCAAACCCAATCCACCGACCCTCCCATACACGGCCACCCAGCTTCATAGCCTTAGTCTCCAGGTATACCCAGCACTTCTCTCCCCATTCCCGTAACCCTTTTAGGTTCAGCTTCTTCCTGGTAACTGCCTCGTAAGGTGTCTTGCCATCCAGGGCCTTTGTTGATGTTCTGTTAAGAACCCACACAGCATGGCGAACTGCCTTGGTCCACAAGAAGTGAGGTAAGCTGCTTGAATGCAGCATAGCCCTGACCTTCTCAATAACCATGCGATTGTACCTTTCAGCTACCCCATTGTGCTGCGGTGATACGCCATCTACGTGTTCACACCTAGATTTTGCGATTTTATAACAATACGGTTGCAGGTCTATCCTATACTAGTGGTATATCAAGGGCTATAGTTGAGACTTCGGACTGATAGTCAAGTTAGCATGCTACTAGTCAGGTCAGGACTTAGGAATGATACCACTAGTGGGTCAGCCCTACCAGCCGACTGGACTAGCACCTCCAAAGCTAGTATGACTTAGTAAAATATGGTCACTAGTAAAGAATACAGCTGCTAGCACCCAAACAAGAAGTAAGAACCCACACAGATCTCGACTATTCAGTCGCTAGTGGACCAATCCTGGCATGAACGCCTAAGTCAGGATGACTAGTCACGCGAGCACTTCTGAAAGGACTTAGAAATGAACCAGTAAAGGCATAACCCTTAGCCCAGATCCGGCTATTGTGATACAGATCTCATACGATCAGCACTAGTATAGCCGGGCTGCGCCCTGATCACGATCGAGCAGTTGCTACAGGCACGGTTACCCGACTATTCATATAGCCGTGTCACCACTGGGCAAAGGGTGCGGAAACGACCCAATAGCGGAGTCCCTCGACCCGCTATCCGACAGAAAGAACAGGCTAGGCCAACTATTGCGTGATTATTCACCATAATTCGTGACTAGCCAAGATATCCTTACCAATATTACCCCTAAAGAATCTATTTATATTTATTCTGTACCTGTCTCTGTAGTATATAAGTAGTAGAAGGGGTGGCCTCGCACGCCAGGCAAGCCATCCCCGCAATTGTGACCTACTAGTCCATATTCTAGTGCCCCAATTAAAGGCTTTTGTGCTTAACCTCAATGAAGTGTCTACTAGTCACTTAGTCACCTATAGTATTGAATGAATTGAAGTGTCTTAAAGTTACTATTCCGTCTTGGAGTGACTCGGAGCATTTTGAAGTTAGTTAAAGTATTTTCTCGGAGTTAAAGTATTTGTGCTTAGGCCAAGAGTGCCACTAGTCGAGCCTAGGGTGCTGCTAGTCAAGTGTAGACCGCTTGTGAGACCCAGTATTTGGCCCAGAGTGCCACTAGTTTTGAAGTATCAGAGTTAGACTGAGCACAGTTGCTCCACCCAAGTCACTATTCATCCAATTGTGTCTTAAAACCCCGCTAGCGTGAGTATTACATCTTGTGTAGCTCACTAGTACCAAATATACATCTTTAAACAACTCTTCCCTGATTTGTTGAAGTCTGCAGAGTGCTTCTATCGTACTCGAAACACCAGAACTCAATAATATTGGTGATTAGTGTAGAGTAGTAGAGGGTTTTGGTGTTGTGGTGTTCATATCCATTCGCTAGCCTTTTGTCACTCGCCGTTACCGAGCACATCAGTGGTGTATCATGCACAGTCATCTTCCTCACAGTGCCGGCATTCTTGAGATGCAAGGTAAATGCCTTATCGACGTATTCACCTCCACGGTGATGTGCTCAGTAATGGCGAGTGACAAAAGGCTAGTGAATGGATATGAACACCACAACACCAAAACCCTCTACTACTCTACACTAATCACCAATATTATTGAGTTCCGGTGTTTCGAGTACGATAGAAGCACTCTGCAGACTTCAACAAATCAGGGAAGAGTTGTTTAAAGATGTATATTTGGTACTAGTGAGCTACACAAGATGTAATACTCATGCTAGTAGGGTTTTAAGACACAATTGGATGAATAGTGACTTGGGTGGAGCAACTGTGCTCAGTCTAACTCTGATACTTCAAAACTAGTGGCACTCTGGGCCAAATACTGGGTCTCACAAGCGGTCTACACTTGACTAGCAGCACCCTAGGCTCGACTAGTGGCACTCTTGGCCTAAGCACAAATACTTTAACTCCGAGAAAATACTTTAACTAACTTCAAAATGCTCCGAGTCACTCCAAGACGGAATAGTAACTTTAAGACACTTCAATTCATTCAATACTATAGGTGACTAAGTGACTAGTAGACACTTCATTGAGGTTAAGCACAAAAGCCTTTAATTGGGGCACTAGAATATGGACTAGTAGGTCACAATTGCGGGGATGGCTTGCCTGGCGTGCGAGGCCACCCCTTCTACTACTTATATACTACAGAGACAGGTACAGAATAAATATAAATAGATTCTTTAGGGGTAATATTGGTAAGGATATCTTGGCTAGTCACAAGTTATGGTGAATAATCATGCAATAGTTGGCCTAGCCTGTTCTTTCTGTCGGATAGCGGGTTGAGAGACTCCGCTATTGGGTCGTTTCTGCACCCTTTGCCCAGCGGTGCTCCACTAGTGACATGGCTATACAAATAGTCGGGTAACTGTGCCTGTAGCAACTGCTCGATCGTGATCAGGGCACAGCCCGGCTATACTAGTGCTGATCGTATGAGATCTGTATCACACTAGCTGGGATTGGGCTAAGGGTTATGCCTTTACTGGTTCATTTCTAAGTCCTTTCAGAAGTGCTTGCGTGACTAGTCATCCTGACTTAGGCGTTCATGCCCAGATCAGTCCACTAGCGACTGAATAGTCGAGATCTGTGTGGGTTCTTACTTCTTGTTTGGGTGCTAGCAGCTGTATTCTTTACTAGTGACTGTATTTTACTAAGTCATACTAGCTTTGGAGGTGCTAGTCCAGTCGGCTGGTAGGGCTGACCCACTAGTGGTATCATTCCTAAGTCCTGACTCGACTAGTAGCATGCTAACTTGACTATCAGTCCGAAGTCTCAACTATAGCCCTTGATATACCACTAGTATAGGATAGACCTGCAACCGTATTGTTATAAAATCGCAAAATCTAGGTGTGAACACGTAGACGGCGTATCACCGGTTCTCGAAATACATCGTGCTGATTCCATGCACGAAGGAACTCTCATCAAGTGGATGGGCCAAAATCTTATGTGACAAAATCATCTGTCAATTTGGGGTCACCCCCTCCAAAGTCATTTCCGATCAGGGACCACAATTCGTATCAAAATTCATCACCAAGTTATACACAATCATGAATATTCAAGGAAATCCATCAATGGCTTATCACCCTCAGACAGATGGACAAATGGAATGGGTTAACCAAGAACTCAAAAAATACCTTTGAGTCTTCATTAACCACAAACAGGACAACTGGAGTGAATGGCTGCAGTGGGCAGCATTTGCTCACAACAACCGCCAACACTCTGCAACAGGCTTTTCCCCCATCAAATTAGTCTTTGGATGAGATGGGGAAATTCACCCAACCATGGTGAGGCCATTGGAAACATCATCAGTAACTGACTTCATCAAAAGCCTCCAGAGAGTATGCAAACAAGCGGAACACTCTCTGAATAAAGCCACCAAGGTTATGAGAAAGGCTTACAACAAACACACTTGTCCTGCACAGGAGTACCAACCAGGTGACAAAGTCTGGTTGGATTCCACCAACCTTCACCTTCCCCAACCGGTGAAAAAGCTAGATAACAAACGCATTGGCCCCTTTGAAATAATCTCCAAGAAGGGGCCCTCCACATACGAGTTAAAGCTACCACCAGGATGGAAGATCCACAACAAGTTCAATGAACGATACCTAACTCCATACGTCCCCCTGGAGTTTTCCAACCAGGAGAAACCACTGCCACCTGAGCCTGAGCTCATGGAAGGCAAAGAAGAATACAAAGTAGAGGAGCTACTTCAGGACCACAACTGTATTATTGGCTGAGGACATAGTTGGAGGACCATAACAGAATATTTGGTCAAATGGAAGGGATACCTGATGGAGGAAGCCACTTGGGTCAAGAGAAGCAACCTTGCCCATGCCGAAGAACTCATCAAACAATACGAGAACAAGAAAGACCACGTAGAGGATCATGATTTGCGACACTTGGAAAACAAAGGGGGATGTATAACCATATCATCTCCTGGCTCTTCAACCGAGAGCTCAACACTCTTTCCAATCCCAAATGGGAATCATACTGATCCATTATTCTCTGATGAGCAGGGCTTTTATTCATTGGACATGGATGAAGACGTCTTTGAAAACAAGCATTCCATGCCTCCTCTACCGACTCAGACCGACCCTAGTTTCCCTCTAGAAGAACAGGGCATGTCTGCTTGGGAACAGAACAAGGACTACAAATTGGATATGGAATCTACCAACTCCTTTGACTCAGGGAGTGAGTATGTCTAAAGGACTGTCAGGACAACAGTCTTAGTTGGGGGGTATTATTACGACTTTACTCCTATTTTCCTTATCTTATCTTATCCTTATCCCTCAGAACCCCAGACCTACCTATATTATCTCTCGGACCCATGATATTCCACCAGCATACCCCTTACCTGTTTACCCAGTTGCCGTCACCCCAGTTCACAGCTGCCACATCCTGGATGACTGACAACCTGCATGCACCATCATGCTTCTCTTGATGGCATCATGCTTCTTAGTAGTTGGACAGGAGTTGACCACTAGTCGAGGGTGGTCTATGGGATGCAGCCTATTCAGATGGAGTCCCAAGCAGATACAGGTGACATGCACTCTTTACTCTCATTCATCGGGAGTGCACTTCTTTTAGTGTCCTCTCCTCTCATTCATTGAAGGGCACACTTCTTGCTGCATGTGCCCTTGTAGATACTATTCTTAGTATGAGTCTAACATGTATTTAAGCTAGCCTACACTGTGGCCTTAGACCCCAGCTTCGGCTAAGGTTATATACTCCTAACTCTTACAAGCTCCTCACTTTTGCTATAAGTGATGCCTAACTTCCTGCAATCTACCAAGGCCTCTCTAACACTGAATCACCGAATGTGAGTGACAGGATAGAGACCAGCCTTGACTCAGATTAGAGTTAGTGCTTAACAATATGCTTTGGAATTTCGGAAAGCAGGCAAATTTTCTGGGATAGCAGATAGTACATTGCACTTATTCAAAATGTAATATGATAATGGCAGTCATGTATAATTATTCTATCTTTTTTATATCTCTTAATGCATGGATAGTTAAGGTCAAAAAGTATTTCAATGATTTCCGGAGTTTTCTGAAACACCCCTAACTCAGTCCCAGTAAGCAAATAGGTCGAGATTGTATGGTCCCAAACCTTTCTCAGTGCTTGGATATATAATGTAGAGAGTATGTTGTCTTTTTTAATGCTCTAGGCATCATCTCAGCACATATTTTCTATCCTATGCCAACATAGGCATGAATTATGATGTGAAAAGTATACAACAAGCATGTGTGAAAGACATATCCCACAGTACATGCTCAAATTGAAGTATATTGCCTGTAAAAGCATAGCCTGTACTTATTTAAAGTGTTATATGTCAATAGGCATGCCTTCCCTGACCAGAATATTCTTCAGTCAGACAAAATTGCACCAGATGAAACTGTGCATATACCATTCTCAAAGAAATCACTTCAATGAGAAAAGTGATTACAAGGCCTATGCAGGCAGATCACCATGGATCAGACACATGTTTTGGACAATGAAATATATACTATTGCATATTAAACCAATCTTACCTTTGGAAAGGTTGCACACATCTGTGTACAAAGGATGCATCCTTGAAATGTCCTGAAATTTGTGATATTCACTGCAAAAGGCAGATTAATCAAGGTTGTGATACATTAAATATACTAAAAAGTACATAAATGTATAGTAGAGCACTAGTATAGTATATTCCATCAGTTCAAAGGACTTTGGAGCAATGAAGTTGAGCAGAGGATGCATCCTGAGCATCCATTCCGCTCGCTCAATTGCTCCAGTCCAGTAAACCATATAGTGATCGAGTGGCTGTACCCCTTCTTTTCTCTTCTGACCTTTGGTCTGACCATCACCATCAGTCCATTGCATAGTCGCCTGCCTGCCCCTGCTGCTTGTTTGAATGGAATAAAGGTATGTTTCATTACTTTCAATGCTAACATAAGTTTTATAGATACTTTTCATCCATCTGGTGGCCCCAGATGGCCTGGATATCGTGCATCATGCCCCACTCGCTTGCACGTAAGCCCTCCTGCAAGGCAGCATCATTTCCCCCCTCCAAACGATGGAGAGTTGCACTACCACCATCACCCTTTTACTACGGTGCCCGTCAATTCTTGCCACTGCCATTAAACCCTGTCCTGTTGCTGTTGCGACCCACCTAGCATCCCCCACATCGAAATCGGGGCCAATCGCTGTTCACTATAGCTTCTGAATGCATTAATGATGCCTCATTCACTCGATAACGCAAGATCCGCCTCCATCTGCTGCTAGGAGGGTGTATATATGCACAGCCAACCATCACGATGACCAGGACGACGACGACAGTGATGGCGTGAGGGGTAGGAGGACTAGAGTATAGTGCATGACCATGCCAAATAGCAGATTAAGGATGGTGTGGAAGTTAGGGGGGCTGGGGAGGGCTGGGAGGGCGAAAGGGTACAGGCAGGAGGGTGAGAGCAAGGTCAGGATGCTGACAGTGAATGACACTGACGATGACCGTGCCATTTAAGGCATTGAATGAGGGCTTGAAGGCGTTGTGAATGAACCCACATTCATGGTTACGCGATCCCGGATACCCCTGCCGCCGCCTGCTGCATCCCATCCAACATCAGCCTCCCATGTGCTGCCCAGCTCACCCGCCAACCTCAAACTCATGCATCCCCCATTATTTGGATAGGGTAACATGGATATGAGCTCCGTTTACCCCTTCGATGCCATTGTCATCATCTGCCCGCTCCCTATCCTGACACCCACCTTTTTCTGCTCACGTCACCCCCCATAACAATGCAATGACCACCCTGCCACCAATATCATTGCTTCCCTCTACATGAGGCTTCATGGGTGCTATCGATGCTTATGTCTCACCACACCTGCCTGCACCACATTTTATTTACATTTTGTATTGTATTGTATTTTAAATATATCCATTTTATTTGATAATAATACAAAATTCCGAGCAGAGGATGGGATGCATGGGAATAGGGAGGAGAGTAGTCTCTGAGCCTCAGAGGGATTCATTAATGATGAAGGCTGAGAGGGAGAGGCATTTTTTAAAAGACTTAGAAGCTCTTACGAGAGAGTTTCATTAATGAAACAGGCCTTATCCAGTGTTTGGCTTGGACACCAGTGGAAAAACGGAGGTAGAAGATGGACCAGTTATCACCGGACATGTTCAATGTGGGGACGTTCGATGGCAGGGCCGTAGTCAAGGCAGCAATGGCGGAAGTCATTGGTATGAAGGATAGAGTAATTCTCGGGGCTGTATAACCTTTAAGAAAGTGACACGCATTTGTTCATAGGACCTAATAGTATACACTGTTAGCTATATTGTAGACCTCACACAGCATAGTGATAAGCAGAAATGCGGTGTTAATTCACTGTACCTAATAGTATACCCTGTTAGCTATATTGTAGACTATAGGTACCAATCAGTAAGGTAAATGAAGTAATATGAACAGATACTCACCCTCACACAGCGTAGCGATAAGCAGAAACACGGTGAGGGTGTCCGATAGTCCGTAGTTAGTATATAACGGTAACCAAGTCCATCCCGACACAAAGGGGTATATAGCTCGGCCGACGGGATACGACGGAGCTCCTGCTTGCAAATCCAACATGGTTCTGGTGTTATAATTTATTATCTTCTTCTTGGACTCGGAATGATTCTGAAAAACAATAGTTCAAGGCTCCAGCACTATCAGACATGACAAATCAACGATACTGTATCGCAGTAAGCACCTTTCAGTCCTGATCATATTCAGCCAATCCTGAAGAAATAAGAGGTCATGACACACAAGAAGTAACCTTAATATTACGAATGCGAGGACTAACTTTCGTCCATAAATCATCAGCAATATTGACATATCGTCCATCGCAAATGTCCAACTCCTTGGTTTGGATGATCATCGACGCCTTAGCGATATCCGGGAAATGTTTGCGAAGAGAATATATAGCAGCTTCTGCAAGGGAATAAAAACAAGATGTACTCACGGTGTCATCGCCATAGACGCTGGCACAACGGTGGAAACGGGAAAAAAGGGCGAAGTCGGGCTAAGTGGGAATAAGCGGGGGAGGCGGTCTATATTTGGTTGCCAGGAGGCTAGTAGGTAATAACGGCACTGCCATCTTGCTGCGTCTCTACCACGTGTGTATCTCAGTTCTGCCTTCTCACATAAAGCGTTAATCAGTCTTTTAAAATGTTACTCAGAGACTCTCTTCCTTGTCTTTCCTCGCTAAATGTCTGTCTAGCGCTACAAGTAAATAAAGCAAAGTCTCTTTTCCAACATTCTTTTCCCTCCGTATTGCCCATGGATCTACTTAATCCACAGGTCTGTCGATAAATCTTCGGTCTCCTGCTGCTTGCGGACTCACCACCTTGTTTCTTTAGCGCGTCTTCAGATTTTTACACTTATATGAGGGGCTTAGTGTCCAGAGGTATATCTCCGAAACTCATCATTCTCCACACGCGAGATCAGCCTAAGACACATCAAACCTTGAAACCTTTCCTCCGGCTACCCACATGCTGTTATTGCTTAACATGGCCGCCCTGGCACACGATATTTAAGGATTGAATTCGTCTTTCGCCTTGTTCCCGCATACACCCTGTCTTTACTCTATCTATGTCGTTTAACGTCTCGAGTACATATGGAGCAGTAGCAATTGGCGCGCTCTCAGCCTCTCTGTAAGTTTCTTTTCCTTCATCCTTTAGCCTATCAATTCTAATGATTCCGCAGACTTTCTGGCGCAGTAGCCATCCAAACGATTTTTTACTACAAGCTGTATCCCTCTGATTTGATTAGAGTTAAAACCCTCGTCAGTCCTGTCTCCGCTGTCATCTGTTGAGCGTTGAGCGTCTCTGCAGGTATTCGCTATATGGTATGCGATGGCATTCATCGTTGCGATTCGTTCCTGAACTATAACCCGACAGGCTGCTCGATACCTGCCACACCTGCTTCGTCTGGGTATCTCTATGGTACATGCTTATCAGCCACTATGGTAGCCTCGATATCATACCTTGGTGAGAATTCATTCCCACCTTTTCCCGCTACCATCACTCATGTGTCTGTAGGAGCATCGGGGTCAGTAAATTTTATCTCCAATTCAAACTTTGTTTTTGATGGATCAGACAGGTGTCCATCGTCATTACGGTAGAGCGCCTCGGGTCCGCCTAGCCGATATTCATCTGACAGTTTTCGTAGGCCGTCTTGACATTTCTCGTGCACTGGTACGCTCAGACATATTATGATTTCCCCTCATCTACTCAACTACCCGTTGCTATAGCTTCTTCGCACATAGGATATTTATGCGTAGGTCCAAGTCCTACATCCCGTTTACCATCGTTCAATATTACTAGTTAGCAAGAGAAATTGGCTCCTTACATGCCCTATTGTCAGTTGACTTTATACCATACCCTGTTTCATATTCTAACGTTCACCTGACAGCTGATCCTAGCGGCATTCCGTCTCGGTGAGAGCCTTCATCTTTATCGCGCTGTGGCTATTGTTTGATTTCTCTATTTGTGGTCCAGCTTCTGCTTGTGGTTCGTTTATGAGACTCTTCGTCCCGTATATTCAAAATACTGACATAGAACAATTCAGTCACGACGTCTGAAATGTATATGCATCCAAAGCTTAAATTCGTTCCATTGATAACACCATGATTCCCGAAAAGATACGCCTAAAAACATACTCTGCATTCAAACAGGACTTCCGAGTAAATCATCTCATAGGTTCCCCGAATATCGCTGACCCCCAACTACAGTGGATATTCACACTCGGTCTGGTGCTATCCTCCGCGGTCGACATGCTAATCACCGGGTCTCTCTTCGGTCTACTACATAAAAGTCGCTCGGAGGCCGAGAAGTACGAAATCCCCTCCATTCTTGTCCCACCAGCTAAAACCGAGCGCCCTAGCCTTAATGCCATCATCGATGCTCTGATCCTGTACACCTTCGAGACCGGGTCTCTGACATGGTACGGGCGTATTTCCGGCTCTTTCAGATAGCTAAACTGAGCTTAGCGTGGCAACTATTATCGACATGATTTGTGTGAGTCCTCTCTAAAGTCCTCCACCTCATCATCCTCATTCCCGCGGCAGTGGATCACGATGTCATCAAACCTAATATTTATGGGCCTTCATTTCGTCATTAGTAAATGTACGTCTGATGGGATCTCCGGTCATTCCAGCTGACCATCAGTGGCAGTATACGCCAACTCATTATTAGCAACGTAAGTCTCCGAATCCGTTTGTCATTCTTCCATTCACGTAAATGTAACCGGAAGGTTAAACACACGTCGTGGCCTACGAAGAGGACAGTGGTCTTCGTCTGGTCGCACTGGGAGTGCGATAATGTTGAATAGCCGTCAACCCCGTGATCGAGTAGTAGTGCGTTCATCCTCTGGAGTGGTGAAACAGGGAAACTTACACGTTCGTTCTCAGTTACAGGCTGACCCGGTGTTGGCTAAACGAGGAGAGGTTCGTAGTTTGATCTTCTGATCGGGCTTAGTTACTCATCACTATGCGTAGCTTCAGATTAATGTGGAGCGGAGCATCCACTGTTCAACAGATTATTAATGCCGAGCTCGCGACTCGCGAAATAACTAGCGAGAAGAGATTGAATGCAGGTGATGTGGTATAAACACTATACATTCCACTTGATTTAAGTGGATTGATTATCGCCCGTGATGCCCCACAAAATAAATGAATCAATCGTCTTAATAGCAAAGTCTCAATACCCATCTATTCTGCACGTCTTGGGAAGGATTGTGAGGTTACAGCATTTCACGAAATGGCCTTTCCGGTGTTCCACGGTGACGTTATCCATTCATATCAATGGATAGGGCGCCGGCTGTTGCCATCAGATATACCTACGGTCGAAGTATCCTGTACAGGCAGACTGCCGTTCGGCCTTGAACTAACAAGGAATGGAGATCGTCCCGGTGTTGGTTGATTTATCTCAGCATCATTCCAGAATCTTGCCGGCACGCTCTTACGCCGGGAAACTATTCAACGCCGAAAAACATCGAATCGCCCGGCGTTGTTGCAAATTATACTATAACCATAACTGCTACGTTATCTCTGTTCGTTCGACCGGGTCAGGGACAAGCCTGTAACCCGCAACAGCTCTCACGTTAAACTTTTGGAGCGATGATAACCACGAACGGCGAATGATTGCTCCGATCAATAACGAATGCGCCCAGCTCTCCAACGGTAAGCGTCAGCCCACTATTGCAGAATGTAGGAAAAAATCGCTGCATTTTATTCTCCGGATGCACGCATAGTATAGTTCAGTGGTTAAGATCGAAACTTCGGTTTCGGTTTTCCTAGAGCCGAATACAGCGGCGGTACCGCTCCCTCTCGGTTGTTTTGCCTTCCAAGATAGGAGCGCATCTTTTTCAGGATATTAGATCCAGCTCTATAGATGTCTTAGCTAAGTAAATAACTTTAGCGATATCGGAGTGGATGATTTGACTTCTGCATGCTGGTTACATCGCAATTTTTAGCGCTCAGTTCGGAATGTGCGTCAGTTCTTTCCAAGGATATGGCTAAGCAGGGTTACTTGTCATTTGATTTCCTAGGGTTCGACTCCCTGTATCCTACCTAATAGTTGATTTAATACGGAGTTGTTTTATTCGATACCACTTGAAATTCAGGCTGACTTGGTTTTGCTGGGGATGTCTTTCTCTCTGCATGATCTGAGGATTAACACTTCGGATGTGTCTTTATTCAATATCAAGATTCCCCCTCATCTTCTTGTATGAGTTCATCTTTCTGTGATGGAGCTGGCTCGACGCAAAGGTGCCATCATACCCTGTTTCCTGCTGCACAGCGTGGATGGCTTTTTGATTAGAGCGGACAGTATTAGCCTGTTAAGCCGCCCCGAGCATCGGTATGGAAAACCTTCGCCATTTTAACGGTCAGGCAAATTCAGTTGACGTTTTAATTTAGAATCGACCGGTAGACCGTTATCCTTGTGCTTCTGACTTACGGGGAGTATAACATTGTGGCTATAGCCGTCGATGGGGGTTCGATTCCCTATATACCATTGCGTTTGTACGAAGGCATTGATTTTTGCTTTCGTTGATCGACACGCGGCTTCAAACTCGAAGATATCGAGATTCCAGACAGACTTTCTCGGCTGTTTGGTAGTTTCTTGGTTTTATTCTTATTCCCAAGTAAACTCAATGATTTATTGATATATCTGCGTCTGCTTGATATCCTCCTCTAGTCTAATGGTTAAGGATACATCTTGGGGTTCGATTCCCCGTATCAGAATAATCACGGCCGTCGAAAAACGTGTATATTTTCTTGATATGATATTGGAATTTCCGGGTCCTCCGTCAGTTTACCGCTCTTCCGCACGGAATAACTTCAGAGCAAGGAGAGTTGTTTCATCACACCGGCACAAGAATAGGATGTACTTGCTAGATGCAAGTACGGATACTGTCGTTCAGTGGCTATATCTGTCAGGCGATGCTGGGGTTCAATCCCCTTGATCCTGTAGCCTATCTGAAATCGTATTTGACCTTTGTTTTTTGGCTAGACCGTCCTTTCTCTGTTTTTAGTTATCGATATGTTGATATCATATCATGTTGGATTCTAGCTAGGCTTGATCATTTATTGTCCTGTATGAGGTATGAAGGAAGAGTGAGTAAATCCATCCCTTTCTCTTTGATATTTACGCGCTCGTCCTCAAGGGCAAGTTAGATCTGAATTGATCACCTCACCTAGTTCTTCTGGCCAACTGCCATCGAAACGTTGTTATTCTGAAACTCAGGTCGGGGTTCAATTCCCCAGGTGTCGAGTATGCTTTCGACATCTTCCATGTCATGTCTTGTATAATGGCTACCGCGACATCCTTCGCAACTCGAGTTCAGTTCCCTGTGCGAGAATAACACCGGAAGAAGTTGCTTTTTGGTGCTTCGAGAGATGGTGGGGTGCGGGCCCTCCTGTGAATTAGTATTTCCCAGCTCTTTTTGCGGGTATATGGTTAAGCTGCGCTTCATACCTCATTAAGGGTTCGATTCCCAACATCCGATTTGGCGTAAATGTCCAGATTCTTTTTGGTCAGGGCGGTTTTGCTAGGAATTTTGTGTTTGAGTATGGGTCTTATCTTGATTATAGAGAACTTGTTCTTCCGCGTTTCCAAGCATTTAAGTTCACCGGAGGGTTTTGGTGCGTTCCTCTGGAGGTGTTGGATTGGGACTCGGTTATGTATTTTTCTCGACTAGAGGGATTGGATTATCTACATTCGAGCCACCTCCCCTCTCAAGGAATTCAGGTATTAATCTTTGTGGGGATATGGCTTAGGAGCTCAAGTTGATTTAGTTGACCTAATCAGGGTTCGACTCCCTGCCCCATGATGGAGTGATTCCCAGGTCTTTCTTTTTTCTAATTCCGTCAGGATTTGAATTGACTTATGACTCGTCCTCGCTCATTTGTGGGTATGATAGCTTTCGGAAGTCAAGACAGAATGCCGGAGTTGGTATAGTGCACACCATTCAAGGTTCGATTCCCTGTCTGGGTTCTTGACATGGCAACAGTTATAGGCTTTTTTATGGATATCATTATGGGTACATTGGTCGACGTCTTTAATGGGAATTTTCAGAAAAGAAAAGCAACAGGCAAATGTACGAGAGTAGGAAACTGACTTAGTGGATATGGTGTGATTGTTGGTTGTCCTTCATTTGGCTCCTGTTCCAAGGCTGTTGATTTCTTGCGGACGGCATGTTAGCCTAACTCTGTCCGCGATGTATACTTTCCTCCAATTTTGATACATTGAAGTCGTGCTGCTTCTATCTATGTTTCCGGATTACCAAGCGGTTGCGCAATGCTTCATGGCGAGTCTTCGTCTTTGGTCATGCTTTACTTGAGGTGAAGAAAGCATTGATATAATTCTGTGTGCTACGAGTCGTTGGACAGTGGATGGGCTCACGGCAGCGAGGCCTTATGACTGATTAACATTCCAGGCATAAGGTCGCTTATGCTTAGGATCTCTACGCATTGCTGAACAGTTAAAGAATGCTGAGTCATTGATTGGCTACTGGATGTCATTGAAAGAATTAGACACGGCAGGATATACAATCTTGCATATGGCGTCGACAATTTATACGCGATGTACGACTCGTCCTTGGCACAAAATATCAGTTATCTATCTTCCAACACGGCGTACTCATTCCTCCCCGTCAGCTTGCACGTGAAAGGACTGTTCCCATAAAGATGAGTGAATGAAGCGTTGGCTCGGAAGGAGGCGAGCATACTCACGAAATAGTGTGCCCATTCGTTCCGTCTGCGACGACACCCCGAGAGATCGTCTCTGCTTCATACGGGATAATGGCCATGACGAGCATATCAGGATGTAGATAGGGTGTGCCTGGAAGCGTGTCTGCCCATTGCAGGAGAGTGGAGTGCGCTCGCGTGAGGGACATATGGTAGAACGGAGTGGCATCTGAAGGCATGCATATAGTCAGCTTATTCCATGAGGGACATGGGCGCACGTATCGGTTTTGTAGGACTGTGATGCTACGTGCTGACAGTTCTCTCCTTCCTCTCTATCAGATCAACGGCCACATCTTGAGTCCAGGTGAGGTCTCCTTGTTCATCGTCGAAGCTTGAAGCTTGAAGTGTCAATTCCGCTGATCTGTCCATGGTTGGGCGTCCAAGTTTAATGCGAACAGAGTCGCCATGGCAGGGAGATGCTTGGGATCGGCTGGTTCCGGACGCTGATCAAAGAGTCGTGAGCCTCGTGTGACGCGTCATTGATTGTTACGCGTAACGCGACGGTCACCTCTCTGCCGACGACCACCACATCTCCTACCAGTGGCCTTCTAGTTCACTTCACGTCTTATCTTGTCCCATTTTCCTATGAAACTATTGCCGACATAAGAATGACGTGATTCCAGCTCGACCAGGGTCGACAATGACCCTGAGCTCTATTGTTCGCTCTTCCTACGGCGACATGGTCTAAAGGAGGTGTGTCGTTTTCCCCTCTGCTTTGTACCTTCCCAAAACGCTTTCGATCAGGACTATAAGCCTTGAGCTTATCCGGGCAATGACTGACACTCAAATTCCATCATCATGTCGCCCTTACTCAACACCGCACCCATAGCAGCTGGTTATCTGGGCGAGAACTAGGTTTGAAACACCGTACATAGAGATGATAGCAAATGACGACCTTCTTGTCTCCATGCAGGTCTTGATCACCACGAGGCGTGATGGTTACTTTCACTGGCAATACATGAGAATGTTCTTCGAGTATACGCAGGGGCAGGAGACGAGAAAGACTACATGCTTGCCCTCTAGGTACGTATTTTCTCTTTATCCAAAGCCTGGCTCGCATTATGGTAGATGCTCGCTCGCTGCAGGTATCCTCAATCTCGAAATTCGTTCGTCTCTCTTCCACTCACGTAAAGGCCGCCCACAGGCTGAACATGAACGTTGAAACCATTGAACACGCGTCGTGATCTACGTACAGGTAATCGTCTCCGTCCGGCCGTACTGGGAGTGCGGTACTTTTGGACAACTACCGACCCTGCGATTGAATGGTGATGCATCCATTCTCTGGGGCATGCCATATGCGAGACGCTCGTCCTGCCGTTAAAGGATGTCAAGAATTTGACTCAACGAGTGGAGGTAAATGGCTTTATTTTCTTGTCTATCCTGATTACTCACCATGAATCGAATTCAGCGGAGCCGATCATATATTATTCAATGGACTATTATGTGTAACTCGCGTCCAGACACGTAACTAGCTATTCTCCAGCGTCGTTCTGTGGATATACTCCTGTAACCTTGCGCAACATGCCTTGTCGAGGTTCAATTCCTTACGCCCACATTGGGCGAGACATGGGCAACGTCAATATCATTTTCTCCCCCTCCTAGTGCATGTGTATTCGGACTCCTCTCGGTTCGAGGTATATACTGATTCTCCACAAGGATGTGGCCAAGCGGGGTGCCTGACATTTGGTTGCCCAGGGTTCGATTCCCTACATCCTAATATTCGAATTCAAAAACGCTATATTTTATTCAACTTCGCTTGAGACTCGGGTTGACCTAGTTGTGCCGTGGATGTCGTTCTGCTTGCGTGATCTGTGTATTAACGATTCCGATGTATTACTTTGTAAGACTAAGATTCCTCATCTCCTAATATGAGTTCGTCATTCCGGTGACTTAAAGGAACGCACACCAGATTAAATAATTCATTGCCATCACATCTCTTGTTTGTTACGCAGCCTGGACGGCTTTTTGATTAGAGAACACACTAGCATCATAAACGGTACCAGGCATCGGTATAAGAAATCTTCACCAATGTTAATGAGTGGCTGTTATGGATCTCGTGTCTTTTCTGGTCTGCACATGAGTCAACACATGCCTACTCTCGGCCTTCTCGGCCTTGACCTCGGCTTACTGGTATTTTCTATCATTTTCTCTTACTTTCTCCTTCCTTCTTGTGAATACTAGAATAATAATGACTCATTTACTTACTAGTGGTATATAAGTATTGTACTTGCCATTGTATTGGAATCTTAAGCTAATTTTACTCATCTTTGAAGTCCACTTGATTGTGTGAACTAAGCTCTCTGATCGGTTACGCCAAGCGCTTTCCAATCAATTGCTTTCCGACTACGCCTAGCGCTTGTTAGCACCCTTACGGATCCCTCTTGGTGGTTGGAACTCGGCTTTCGGACATCCTCGCTCACAACTTGGGTTTCACTCGAGTATTCATTACTTCGCGTACTAGCTCAAATACCCTGATTCTTAACAGTGGCCAAGCAAATTCCAGCTGAGCTTCACGTTTACAAATGGCGGCTAAAGCGCTAATATTGTGCTTCCGATTTACGGGGAGTATAGTCTTGCAGCTATGGCTGTGGGTGGGGGGTTCGATTCCCTAGATACCATTGTGCTTGTCTACAATCTGTCTTTTTAGATTTCTTCGAATCGACCCGTGTCTTCAAACTCGAAAATGGTGAGATTCCAAACCGACTTTCTTAGTTGTTCGGTAGTTTCTTGTTGTGATCACTACACCCAAGTAAACTCGAGTATCTGCGTCTTCCTTCTGTCCTTCTCTGGTTCAATGGTTAAGAGTACATCTTGGAGTTCGATTCCTCCTCTCAGAATGATCGGTGGACGTACATGCACGTGTAAATGTTTTTTCACAAGATATTGGAAGCACTAGTTCCTTCGTCAGATTGCCGTATTTCATGAATGGATAGATCCTTGCGTTTTGGTGCAGGGTTCGCTTAGACAGGGATGTAGCTTGCGACTGGAATTCCTAGCGCCATTCTCTCCGCAAGCAAGGCTCCGAGTCCTTTCTTCTCTGTATCTCCTGTTCAGTTTTCTGAAACTGAGAATTATACTCCTTGTTTAGAGGCGAAAGACTAGTCGCTGTGTCTATGAGGCGCCCGTCAAAGTAATTTTTCAGAAATCTATCGGTCCTCATGGGCACTGTATCAAGCACAGGAAATAATCGATTTTTGCGGCTATGAAATTCTGCGTTCGAATCTGCGAAAATTCCGAGTGACGCCTGTTAACTGGGGTTCTTTCTCATGCATCATGCGGTGTGTCACTCTTCTCCCATTTTTGATTTGGTTTTATGAAAGAAGGGCTCTTATTCTTTCTTCTCACGTGAAAAAAATAGTTGAATAGGGAGTGCAGTGGTTAACACCTTGAGCCCGAAGTTCGATTCTTCCTATGCACTATAAGATAGCACGAAAATTTTTTTTGAATACGATGGAATTCTGTTTGAATCTATGGAAGATGTACCCGATTTTGAAGTACATATAGCAGCTGATTTTGATATATTAGCTTCGCTGGGCAAGCCCGGATCATCAATGTCCAAGTTATTCCCTCCTCTTATTCTCTGGTGGGACGAGAATTTCGTTTAGATTCCAACGATACGAGGGCGCACAAGAAATTATTTCAGACGGAGTGATAATTAAATCATCCGTTTTTATGTGATTTTATTGGTAGACTACTCCCGCATTCTTGTTCGCTTTCATCACTGACTAAAAATACATATGATATACCAAACTTTTAATGCACAACCTCCATCCCACCCCACTCGAACACCCTAAAGAGCGCCTCATCGTCCATCCCATCACCATCCACACCAACCACACCTTTCCAACAATCTACTTCCTCAAATGCCCGAGTAAGCGCTCCCTCCCACTCCACCAACTCGTCGTCATGGACTCTCTTGAAGAGCATGAACACGCGGGTGATGATATCTGGTTTGGGGTCGACGCTGAGTGGGGCGGCGCATGAGTATGAGGATTGGGGGAGGAATGTAAGTGCGACGTAGTCGTGTTTCAGAATTGACGGGAGCCAGTATCTGATTATACATTGATGAAGTTAAAGTAGGGAAATGGGAATGGACGTACGTGATGAACGAAATCCGGGCTTCAACGTGTAGGCTGAGAGCGAGGAGGGCTTTGTCGAGGTATTCTGCAGCTTGGGAAGCACGGAGGACGACGGAGTTTTCATTTGTGATTCGGCCAAATGATGGATCGAATGGGAGGATGGAATTCGTATTTCTGGGAGACGGGACGGGGAGCATCGGTTTGGTCTGAGACAAGAGTGAGTGAGTATGCCAAACTCGAAAAGACACTTACTCGGCCTCCCAGAACAAATAGGACACCCGAGTACCATTAGTAGTCGTCAGAGTGTGATCCTTTTGAACGTCGACCTCCCACAAGACGGACTGTCCAATCTCGGAATCTTTGATCGGAACATTCGGGTAGACAGCGGAGAAGGACCAAGCCTTGACGAGGGACACTTGCACCACAGCATGCACTGGCTGCGGAGAATATAGGTATATGATCGGTTTCCTCATCGTGGTGAAGTGCTTTTGCCGAAGGACGATTGTCGCAGAGTCGGGGACCTTGCATTCGGAGAGTTTGAGATCGCGCTCTAGGCACTGGCCTTGGTAAGTGAGGTGTTGTCTGTACATGGGGGTGCCTTCAATCTCTTCGATGGAGGCTTTTGGGTCGTTGATAGATGCGGAGTGTGGGAGAGACACGGCTTTGGTCTCTCCCAGAGGGGTTCGGATGTGGATTGTCATTGATTGAAACGATGTCATTACTGGCTTTTGAGTCGGACCTAGAATGCCTTGAGCTAGCGATGGTGATGGTGAGTTAAGAAAGACGGATGAGAGATGACTTTAATGTTTTGGATTTGAGGGTTGATTTCCGGCCATAAATCAGGCGGAATATCGACGTAGCGTCCGGCACAGATATCCAATTCGTTTGTTTGGATAACAATAGACTGGGTGCTTGTGCTTGTGAAATGGCAGAGAAGAAGAGTGACTAAATCCTGATGAGATGTAAGGTCAGTGTGTATAGGGTCTATTGCCAAAGGCGTACCTGATAATGAGTGACATCAGACCTGCGAATGAAGACCGAGATATTGGCATCTGTGGCGACGAGGTAATGGTCTTTCATTGGTTTCTGCTGAGAAGAGGGAAAATTTGGAAAGAAAGAGGTCATTGTTGGTTGATGAGACAAGGTGAAACATACGAACGGTAATGCTGAGCTTATATAATCTGGCCTATGTCAGATAGATATAGCATTTGCGCCCCGATGCCTTCACCCTGCTTCAGCTCCAGAACGATGGGCGAACACATGCGGATCTAAGAGCCAGATGAGAAATGTCACTGATTTATAGCTGAATAACGTACCAAATAATCTCGCAGAAATCAATGCCTTTGAGATGTTGCAGGCCTCGACTATCGCAGGTATGAGTGTTCCCACAGCTAGTTGGATGATAGTGCATTGCGATGGTTTATTCACAGGGGATTCAGTTCAAACGCCGAAGTTTCCACGCATCTAAATATAACGGTCCCAAGTCATTGCCAAAAGGGTCTTGCTGCGCCGCATCTAAAGAGCACTCGTTGTTATGCTGATGCGTATGGGAGTAGACTGCCGTCTACTACCTGGCATACGCTAGTCAGATTGAGAATCTCAACGACTGGACTCCATACGAAGGATAGAGAGAAAAACTAACCCTACCAGGAGGTCGCGAGGAGACATTGAAGCTGCGCTGAAGTCGACAAGGCGAATAAGTGAGAGATACCACAGAAAGTGACCTGGAACATGCCTATCGCCGTGCATAAGCAGGGATAATGATGATACCGTTGTTGGAGACGGCCGTATCGATCTCAACATTGTCAGCTGCGCACGAGGTCGATACTAAGAAGACGAAGGATGACACGTAACCAAGTTCGGGGAAGAATCATTGGCAGCCTATCTGATATATCAAGCAGCGAGGCCGTTTATGAATCCAATTTACGTCTGTAAATTCCGGAAACACAGGCGGGCGGCTGCTCGACCGCCACTAGACATAGTGAAAAGCGACTTACTCCTCAATTGCTTAGTTCATGCAGTAACCGAGATAACCGGGATTGTGAAACCTTACTGATTTTATAGGGAACAGAGGTGTAAGAGGATGAAAGGACACTGACAAGAACAGCGTGCGCCGAAGAAGTGTAACGCCTGCTCTCGTCGTTGTCTTTTAGCCATCTCGGGGCACGAAGTTCGGCTTGTGAGTCTGACAATAACTCAGCTAAGAGCGTCGATTGGCGCAGATCTGCGCTGAGCCAGACGATAGGAACCAATAGGATATCAGTCAGAAGAAAAACAGGACATAACGGAAGCGTACCCGAAGTTCTATTGTGTTTTGCTGGCGCCGGCCTCCATTCTTCTCTGATATCAAGCCTGGTTGTTGAGATGTCACCGTACTGCGCGTCGTTTGTTGGACGATGGGAACGAGAAAGTACGAGCGGGCTGCGGGATTCGGGACAAGATAAAGGGAAGAGGGGGACAACATTTCAAATTCCCGGCAAAGGAAAACACGTGATCATGACGCGTTGGTGATTTGAAATTTCTTTTTTCTTCTTCGCGATGCTCTCCCAACTCTCCTCGTGCATATGATTTATTATCTTGGTTCTATTTCCTCCTGTGCTCAGATTTAATCTGGGAAGAACTTTCTCAAGACCTCAGTACCGATACCAGACACGACGACTCTGGCGCCTGTTTGTCTCTACTCTGTCGTCTCCGACCTTGAGGCCTCAACGAAGATCCCTTTCGAACTTGCGAAATATTATTCTAGGTTCTATTACGTTCTCTCTCCGACCGCCTTCTCCTTACATTTTTTACAGAAAATTTTTATTGTGCATATAAAGCTAGTATAATCCTTGTGTCTCGCATGCCAGGGCAATAATGTCTAATCCTTCGGTGAGGTAATTCGAAAAGGGGTTCCACACCAATCCATTTCACGGCATATCCGATTCAATTGTACAGGGCGAACAATTGAGATACGGTAAAGCTTCAAGTTTCTTCTACGCGACCGCATATTCTCCAATCACCAAGGATATGGTAAGGATCCACGCTTTTCGGGAGCCGTAGACTCACCAACAACAGACCATTTTCGCTATAAATCTTCTTTATTAATGAATTATTTCTGTGTACAATTTAGCGGGGTATTGAAGCGCGACCGAGCGTCTCAATTTTGTTCAAACTGATTCCCTCCCACAGTTTCATTCCTAGATGCCGGCGGTCGAACACATCCCTGTATATCCATCGCCACAAAAGTCACGAAGTCGATCGAAGTGCTTCAGAAGTTCCGAATATTCCAAATCTTTCTCACATGGCATTGCTGTTTCAGTAAGAGCATATAGCTACCTGCACTACATCCTGCGGGGATCCACGTTCTAATGATATACGGTTCCTAGCAACGCTGGACGTGAATATCTGATGAAGAAAGGCACTAATTTGCCTGACGGATATCTCCCTACGTTCTCAGTCCGCCCCGTGGGTTTTACACACGATGTCATAACAGCATTCTCGTCTCGCTCACACCGTAAATCATGGCAATGGTTCTAAAACCTTCGCAAAGTCAATCTCAGGCTGAAAATTTGCTGCTACGTCGCCATTCATAGTCTTGATTTCATCGTCTTCATCCAGTAGAAAAAATTGACGTGCATGTGATGATGTCACCGCCATGCCGATTGCACCAAAAAAAGTAGGTTTGGCGAGTCTTCTTTTGTTCCCATGTAATTCCTCGCATCAAAGGCTTCCAATACTCGAATTATTTCCCACAGTTATTTGTCAATACGACCACTTAAGCGCTTGGGTCATCATTCGCACACCTCCGTTCATTACCAACAATACGAACATGTCATGTTCGGCAAAAATATCAACTATCAGACGTGCGATCCTCGGTGTTATCCCTCTTCTGCCTGTACTCCAGGACCGCTTCTGAATACTTCCTCATCTCCCGCTGCTGTTCCTCCCCCCCCACCTTGTAGCCCCGAGTGCCGAGGTTCACCGGATCCATCTTCTCAAACTCTTCGAAGAAGACGTTGTCGTCCACCCAACGTTTTCCCACAATAAATTCCTCAAGAGGCTGGGGGCCACCCTTGAACTTCTATAACTGCGTGTTCGACTCCTCCCAGTAATAATATTCGTGGCATTCATCTGGTCCTGCCTCGAATACAAAGTTCCCAGAGCTAGTCCAAGCTGGATCCCAAAAAAAGGGGAAGGGTTTGAGGAGACGATAGGTGAAGCGAAATGCAACAATACGAGGTCCTTGATTGAAGTAGTCGATACCAGGGAAGATACCGCCCCTTATTGGACACCTATCCCACTCGGTAGACCATTCGCTTGGGCAAAGACAATCGGGATTCCATGGCATAACCTGCTCGGTTGCGGACATTTGCCACGGATATAGATGACAATTTCTCTATAACACGCGGATTAGTTCTCAGATCACAAACTTTATCTACACACCCACTATAAAAGATTTCTGTTTGTCAGTAGGCATTGCAGTATACGAATGAGTTTGCGTTCCTTCAATGAACTCTGTATAGTTCGAAGGTGGTGACCTATCCTGGCCAGTGGCGATAGGAAGGTTTTCTGCGGTTTGTGAGCGGATGGTGCTAAACAATATATCACCAGAAGGTCAGCAATAAATGGAATTAACGCTAGAGAGTCTCATGAATACGTAAATTCAAAAACCTCAAGCCTCCGACTTAGTGTCTATGAGAAAGTCACCGTAAGAATCTGAGCTTGAACCGGATTGACTCAGGTCAGCTTGGCGTTTAGGTGAGTCTTCGTGACGCAATCAAATCGCCTTTCTGCATTTATTGCGGAGATAACGCGAAACGATCCGATCATATGGTACAACGACGAGAGTGATTTCCCCAAATGATAGTGGTGTCTAGTCCTCAGGCATACGGCGCGGGCAGTGGGCTAGTCCTTGCCGAAATCTGAGATGAACTTTGGGGAGATCTAAGTTATTGTCTGCGCAGCGGACCATCTGCTACCAAGTGCTACTTAGTACAATCTCGCTACGGGCGATGGAAAAAGGGCAAGGATAGTACGTGATCGGACGAAGTATGCTTGATGGATGTGATGGATCCTACATACCGCCGCCTGCGAAACGATATGTCCAGGGAACACACTTGTCTGATTTGACTACTCTTCGTTTTTTTTTCGATTCAAGGGCAATCAAGGGACGGGAATAGCTGTCAATACGCGTTCAGATCCCGGACGACTGATGCCAGTGAGACATGAACATGAAAGATTATATTGATCGACATACCGAGGTCGAAATGCATCCTTACTAAATTGACAAAGGTGACTTCTGACTCCTGCCACTATGAGGATAAGCACGAGCGTTGAACAATAGCGCCACCACTAAGCATTACCATAAGAAATATCATACAAGAAGCGGAGGCTGTCGCGTATCTTCTCTGGATACATCCTGGCATTGTTATTGATCTCGTGGCCACATTTCAACAGAGGATGCAAAGTGTGATGGAAGCACAACGGCCAACAGCACCAGCTTAAGCTGTTTTTTCGTCCTGCAGGGCTGAATAATGAGGCATCCTTGTTCAATACATCTGCAGTAGAGAAATTTGAACTTCACGGGCCTCAGGGAGGGGATGGCACTAATCTATACTTTGTCAATGAAGTATACGGTGCCAAGGTCCGCCCTCAGATAAATAAAAATAAGTATACACCCAGCTCATTGACGGTGGCTCATTGTGAGATGGGTGAGCTTTTCTGCGTATACTTTGTCAAACTCACCAATTAATGTTTCCTCAGTATCCCTTCCAACCTTCATCTCGTTCAACAAACTTCAGGGCCTCAAGATTATAATTCAGGTATCATTTCCCTGTTTCCACACGGCAACATAGGAAATCCTCAGGTCCGGGGCTCCTAATCTGAAGCGAATTGAACTTGATATATCATGGGGGTATGTATATGATGAGAAGATTTGTTGGTATCGGGGATGGGCTCTCGTGCTATCGCGACTGGACATGAGCTTGGAGGACAATTTGACCCGCCGGTGGCCTGCATTGGACACTCTGACTCTGCGGACCCACGACTTTCCATCGTAAATCAATATTATTGGAGATGCATTCCATAGCCTAGTTTCAGAGGAGTATCAAACCCGCACTCAAATTATACAATTCACCTTAAGT